AATGGATCGTTGAATTGCGCGCATCACATGATCTGTATTTATATTGGACAGGTAGAGTAAGCGGCCATGATTAAATATCAATGGCAGAACTGCTCAATAAACAGAATTGTCAAAGTTTGCAATAAACAATAACAAGAAAAGAAAAAAAAAACAGAAGAAGACAAAATTTAATATTTTTGAGCTTCTACTCCAACAGCTTCTTTTCTCGCACTTCTCGTCCGTGGAACTCCCTTCCTCTTGCTTGCTTCCCTGATAACTATAATCTTCAAATATTCAAGTGTAGTGTCAATCGACATCTTCCGATACCTTGATCTTGCAAGTTCAAATTGCAGCTGATTTCGTTACATTCAGATGCTCTAGGGAATGTTAAGAAATCATCTCTTATGCTGCCAACTTATGGGTTAAATAGTACGGCTGACCGGACTATCTTGCTTTCAGAAACGTTTTAGTATCGGAAATTGTTTCCGCTGTGTCGTACGAGACAATTTTTCTCTCCAGAATATATCTTACGCATTTCTAAGTCTACTCTTTGTCCATGCACTTAATATTGCTGGTCTGGTGCTTCTGCTATGTATTTAGAGATTCTTGATAAAACCCAAAGAACAATCTGCAATGTTATCAGTCCTGAGCTGGCATCTCAGTTTCAGTCACTTTGCCAGCGTCGTAACACAAATTCTACGTGCTTTTTCTATAAACATTTTAATGGTAATTGCTCTGGCGAGCTTTCCTCATTGCTACCTCGACTTTATCAATTTAAGCGCAGTACTAGATTAGCAGCTTGGTCTCATCATTTTACAGTTGAAATGGCTGGATGAAACCGTAGTATCTATGTTAATAGATATTTCATCTCGCACTTCTCACTAGTAGAATGCTCTTCTGACTTCCTGATTTCAGGTCAACTTTGATTTAGAAAAAATTAAAATGTCAGTCGTTATCTTCTGTCTTCTTAATTCTTGTTCTTTTATTGTCTTCTTTACTTAATAGTAGTTTTTCTCATATTCTCTAACACTCAGTAACCTCTTGCGCCCTAGTGGCTTTATTGCCTTTGATCTTCAAAAATTTAAATGCAATGTCAATCGTTATCTTCTTAATTCTTCTTCTTTTATTGTCTTCTTTCCTTAATAGTAGTTTTTCTCATATTCTCTAACACTCAGTAACCTCTTGCGCCCTAGTGGCTTTATTGCCTTTCATCTTCAAAAATTTAAATGCAATGTCAATCGTTATCTTCTTAATTCTTCTTCTTTTATTGTCTTCTTTCCTTAATAGTAGTTTTTCTCATATTCTCTAACACTCAGTAACCTCTTGCACCCTAGTGGCTTTATTGCCTTTGATCTTCAAAAATTTAGATGCAATGTCAATCGTTATCTTCTGTCTTCTTCATTCCTATTCCTTTTTTTTTTCTCTTCTTAATATTTTTTCCTTTTTCTCTTATTATATCACACTTATTATTCTCTTGCATCTTAGTGGATTTATTTCCTTGCTTGGGGTGAAATAATTAAAAAAACACCAATAGGAGTGTTTTATATTGAGGCTGGACTCAAATAAGGCGAAGAACACTAATATATACAATATATAAATAGCTTTATTGTTCGAGTTGCGGCAATTGGGTAGAATGTGGAAGAGTCAAAGGAACTGATGGAAACAAAATCTCTAGCCAGCCTCTCTCTCAGGCCAAGAGTTGGACCGTTTTTATAACATTTGGACACCCACGCAACTTCATGGGGATACGCCTTCTTCCAGTATATCACCTATATGCAACTTCTTGTGGCCATGCCTCTTTCGCCCATGTGCCCACGAAATATCGTGTGGCCACGCCTCTTCCGGTATGCGCCCACGTAAGCAAGCATTTCCTTTCCGCTCAGGACACCTTTGTGTCCTATTCAAGGCTCAGAACACCTGTATGTCGTGTTCATTTTAGCGGTTTCCTGTTTATGCTAGCGCCGATTCCGATTATCATTCACTCTCTGATGCAGCGGAAGTGAGGTCAAAGGTCTTTCTCAACCGACAGAAGTAAAACCTGAAGAATATAGGCTTCGTCGGGCCGTCTTGTCCTAGTCACGCCAACGATACTATAGCTGTAGACATGTGGTAGTCTCACGACCTTAATTTATTTTGTTTTTCTTTTTGAGATTTCATATGTTGACATTAATCTGAGTTGATAGCTTACACTAATTGTGCAGCTTTGTAGGATAATCACCTTTAAATAGTTCGAGCAAGATTTATCGGCTATTTTTAACTTCAGATATTGCTGACTCTTTTCAACTTTACTTTGTATCTCAATTACACATCGACCTCCAATAATCCGGGATTCGCTTCTCCAGCAGCTTTGACAACCCAAGGTGATTTTAATGAAGTACGTATGCCGGCAAAACGCTAACACGAAACTTGTATCTGTAATTACTTAACATTATATTTTATTCACCTACTGGCCACACCCCACCGCCACCACCACCACTACAAAAGGAATATATGATGTCCTATCCTTTTGTTCAGATTTTTGACAGTAGTCCGAATCGGTCAATTTTCAGCACCCCCTAGTATGGCTGACAGATTAGAAAGTTTCATGTTATGAAAATTAATTCAAGATCAAGACGTAAGTATTATAAAAAAATAAGTAAGAAAAATGTTTAATATCGACTGATTGATTCCAGGCTATTTATAGAGGATTTTTTCTAGATTTTATGAATTGGGGGGGGGTAATAAATATTTACTGATACAAGTCCTACTAATTAACTCATAACTGTGGGGAAGGAAAGAGGTGGATTCATGCCTTTCTTAAGGGTATTAGCGCATATGTATTTCTAAGGTTTGGTCTTCAAGGCCGGCACAAGGTCTTGGTCTGGAGTTCTCAGCGAACAATGTGGATTCCAGTAGCAGTAGTGTGGGGACTCCCCGTCTTTCTCTCTCTCTGTCGTGTGCTGTCCAAAATCTCCAGCTTATATGAAGTCCTGCGTCTGGCGGGGTGGGGGGGTTGGCTTCGGTTGTCTTCTACACTAAGCATCAACCCTTTTCAAATTTCCATACATAAAAATACATTTAATCAAGTGTTTTCCCAAATTTGGTGTTGTTCATCCCCCCACTTTTGAGAGTGCACAGAAGGCTGAAGCCACCCCTTAAATCCACCTCACCTCGCACCATGACTACATACAGGCGATGGTAATCTCTCGCCCTTCCTACTCCCACTTTCTCAGCAGCCAACCTCAGCCGGCTTCCTGGGCTTGAATGACAAATCCAACTTCCAGATGGCACAGTGAAAACAAAAACGGGTTTTCAGTCATTGATCATTTTCTATCAGCTTGCCCCATGCTAAGATCTCTCGATCGACCAGACCACTCAAGAACTGGAAAAAGAAAGAAAAATTATTTCTACTCTCATTAAAATGAAAGTTTATCTTTTCTCTGTCTATGTATATTTTTTTTTTACGATCGAACAGACCACCCAATCTTTTTTTCTATGATCACTTCAAAATAGTAATTATGCTTTTTTCTTATCACTTGTATCCAAAGGAATCCGATGTAATGAATGGATAGATCATTTTTCTGGACGAATGTCACAGAAATTATAACGACGAACGCGACCAGTCGGCCTCTATCTCTGTGGGGATTCTTCTCTACTGGGTGGCTTATTCAAAACAGATGTTTTTTCTAGCACTTTTTTGTCCAGAGGAATCGTCAATGTTATTTATTTCGGCGACCAAACTGGTCTCTTTATCGACATGTTTTTATTTTATCTCACATCTTCGGTAAAGTTTAATGGTCTCTTTGTTATCGGCGGAAGTGGGGATGGACGGGTAGTGTTCTGTTCTGTGTTGTTCTGTTCTGTGTACAACAGACCTACTAGCACCATCTCCCTTTGCTTGGGGGCTTCTTTCTGACCCTACACCGGTTGAAGGTTCCCGGTGCTTAGCCTCTATCTAGTTTAGCTGTCCCCAGCACGGCCACATGGCATGCCCCCAGCTTGGCCGCATGGCATAGTTTTCATCCTTTAAATATCTCGTCATTCTTGGACATCTCCGGTAAGAACTATCGCCTTTCTTCCTTCCTATTATGGAATTATTTAATGCAAGCATTATTTTTTATTATCATTTCCTTCCTTAAACGAACTTTGTTTACCTTCTCACCACGTGCGGAACCTCCATCTTTCCTCTCGGAACTTGACTGTTACTCAGCATATTTTGTATTCTTTTTCTTTCTATGAGTATTTTTTATGTTCAAACGCTTCTATTCTGTAAGCTTATCGTACCTACAACTACTTTTAAGGTCTTAGTAAATACTCACCTTCATTTTGTATTTCTGTATTTCTGAAGAAACGTGTTTTTATTTTCTTTCAGTTTTACCTTTGTCGACTGTCAATAAACCTGTGTCTAAAACATACCATGTCTCAGAGTCTTGATTGTCGATGAGAGTTTATGCTAACTGTCTAAGGGTTGTGTACATTTCAACGAAATACACGCATCCCGGAGACAGTACAGTAAAACGGAGGCCCCCCTAATGGTCGGATATTTCGTGGTCTACACCAACCGTCGGAACTACGGACGCAACACCAACAACAGTAGTGTCACACAGTTCGCTTGAAAAAACTATCCTCAATATAACGAAGCTATTCTTTCGGCCTCTCTTCTACCACCAATCATCCTTTTTCTCAACGATGGCAGACAACGTGTCAAATCGGTCAAGGACTCATGCCTCCCGCTACCTCGGTCTTTAAGCAGATCGTCTACGGCGGCTGCTGCTGCTATCGCCCAAGCTAGGGCTGAAGCAGCCAAAACACGTTTAGCTTTCATCGACAAGGAGCTAAAATAAGGATGGAGTTGAGAAACTACAGCTTGAAAAAGGAGACGGCTGCTGCCGTAGCTGAAGCAGAAGTTCTGAGGGAAGCTGCCGACGAGCTAAAAGAACGGTCCAGCTGCAGCCACTCAAAACTCGACTGCACTCCCCGCTGACCCTAGCACACGGGTCCGAGAATACTTAGCCGACCAAGCAAGCCAACCGAAACAAGAGATGACTGGACCCCAACCACCTGTTAACGAAGAAATCGTTCGGGGATACCAGTATGGTCGGTTCGAACGCGGAGACCGACTTCTCCCTCATAGGCCAGGGAGCCCAGACAGACCTACCCAAACAAGCCCTCCTATCATCAGCTATCACTCCCCTAACTCACGTGTCGAAGACACCGAACCTCTTAACGACCGGTACCCCACCAACACCAGGGACGCCTCCCAGTCTCAATATACCTCAGACCTTGTGAGGTACTTCACCCGGCGGAGCTCATCACCACTGGACTGCCACCTTTCAACGATAGACCTGAAGACTACAGAGCATGCAAGCGGTCTTTCCAGAGTGCCATCAGACACCTCGGTCTCACATACAGCGAGGAAATGGACCTTCTCGTAAAATGGCTTGGTAAAGAGTCAGGGGAACATGCAAGGAGGCTCAGGTCAGCCCACCTGAACCACCCAGAAAGAGGGCTCATGAGAATATGGGCCCGACTCGAGGAATGTTACGGGGCTCCTGAAATGATAGAGGATGCTCTCTTCAAACGAGTAGACGACTTCCCCAGACTGTCAAACAACGATCTTCCTAGACTTAGGGAACTCAGCGATTTAGCTACCGAACTCTTGTCAGCCAGGGAAGATGGAAACCTTCCTGGCCTCGCCTACCTGGACACTGCTCGAGGGCTCCGCCCCTTTATAACCAAACTACCATCCTCACTTCAGGACAGATGGCTGTCTGTTGGTTCCGAATATAAGGAGCGGCACCAAGTTACGTTCCCTCCTTTTAAGGTATTTGTAAACTTTATTACACAACAAGCTAGGATAAAAAATGATCCAAGTTTCAAGGTCGATTCACTGGTGGATAGGTTCCCCTTACAAGAGAGCAAACAAAGGGTGGTATCGGTGAATAAGACCGAAGTGTCCCCACAGTTTTCAACACCACGCGTCGGCAAAACAAAGATGACAACGACCCCACCCAATATTGCCCATTACACAAAAAATTCCACTCACTGTTGAAATGCCGCGCCTTTCGAGAGAAACCCTTGAAAGAGCGTGAGACTTTTATAAGAAACAATGGCATCTGTTTCAAATGTTGCTCCTCCACAGCACACATAGCGAAATTCTGCAGAATGAATATTACATGCAATGAGTGTAACAGTGAAGAACACAACACTGCTCTCCATCCAGGACCACCACCTTGGCCCATCAGCATAAGATCCGCTGCAGAGAACGGCGGGGAGGATAATCCCCCTATGGCTACTGGAGTGGTTTCGCAGTGCACACAAGTTTGCGGTGGTGACCTCTCAGAAAAGTCGTGCTCCAAGATATGCCTCGTCAATGTTTACCCTGCAGACCAACCAGACAAAACAGTGAGGATGTACGCCATCATCGATGAACAAAGCAACCGGTCTTTGGTACGCTCAGACTTTTTTGACACATTTAAAAATGATGGGCCCAGTTTCCCCTATTCCCTTAAAACTTGTGCCGGAGTTATACAAACCATGGGAAGAAGAGCGTCAGGCTTCCAGGTGGAATCCTTAGACGGGAAAAACAGCCTTCCACTTCCAAGTCTCGTCGAATGCGACAAAATACCCAACGACAGGTCCGGCATCCCAACTCCTGAGGCAGCCCTCCACCACCCACATCTGAGAAAAATAGCTCACCTCATCCCCACCGTGGAACCTAAAACTCCTATAATGCTCCTTCTGGGGCGTGACATTCTAAGGGTACACAAAGTGCGCCAACATATAAACGGCCCCATGATGCCCCATATGCACAGAAACTGGACCTCGGATGGGTCATAGTTGGCAATGTCTGTTTAGGGAAATTTCACCCACCCACCATAATAAACACATTGCATACACATATATCTGATGGGGACGCCCTACCCTTCTCGAACCGTGCCCGAACAGATTCGAAATTAAAGAGAGCTTCAGCATCAGCAAAAGGCCATACTCTACCGAGATGGAAGACCACCTATTTCAACGGACCAAGGACGGCGAAAGGGCGGCGCCTTCTATCGAAGATATTGCCTTCCTGAACATCATGGAGCTGGGAGCCGAGAAAGACAAAGACAACAGCTGGGTTGCTCCTCTACCCTTTAGATCTCCCCGACGTCGTCTCCCATATAACAGGAAACTGGCAGAGAGTCGACTTTCTTCACCGAGACGTAGCCTCGATAAGAAACCTGCGATACAAAGACCCTTTACACGTAGGGGCGTTTTATCGACCCTCAACAGTCTGTATGACCCCTTGGGATTTGCTGCCCCGTCACCATTCAAGGAAAGTTAATCTTGAGAGAGCTAACCCATGAAAACAGCGAGTGGGACTCACCTCTTCCTCAAGAAATGCACAAAATCTGGTCTTCATGGAGAGACTCCTTGGAAGCGCTAAACGAGGTCCGAATCCCTAGGGCCTTCACAAACATACCACTCTCAAAAAGCAGTACATAAAGAGCTGCACATCTTTTCCGATGCATCGACCAAAGCCATCGCTGCAGTGGCCTATCTCAAGGACACACGACGATAAAGGAAACAACCAAATTGGCTTCGTCACGGGGAAAGCGAAACTTGCCCCACGACCCGAACATTCAGTTCCCAGACTGGAGATCTGTGCCGCCCTCCCGGCAACCGAACTGAGTGAACTAAACACCTCCTCAGACCCGTTACCAGGATTGTCCTTCTCTGTGACGAGAACTAGCACATTCCTTGACGTCCAAGACGTCAGGCGGGGAGTGTTCTGTTCTGTGTACAACAGACCTACTAGCACCATCTCCCTTTGCTTGGGGGCTTCTTTCTGACCCTACACCGGTTGAAGGTTCCCGGTGCTCAGCCTCTATCTAGTTTGGCTACCCCCAGCACGGCCACATGGCATGCCCCCAGCTTGGCCGCATGGCATAGTTTTCATCCTTTAAATATCTCGTCATTCTTGGACATCTCCGGTAAGAACTATCGCCTTTCTTCCTTCCTATTATGGAATTATTTAATACAAGCATTATTTTTTAGTATCATTTTCTTCCTTAAACGAACTTTGTTTACCTTCTCACCACGTGCGGAACCTCCATCTTTCCTCTCGGAACTCGACTGTTACTCAGCATATTTTGTATTCTTTTTCTTTCTATGAGTATTTTTTATGTTCAAACGCTTCTATTCTGTAAGCTTATCGTACCTACAACTACTTTTAAGGTCTTAGTAAATACTCACCTTCATTTTGTATTTCTGTATTTCTGAAGAAACGTGTTTTTATTTTCTTTCAGTTTTACCTTTGTCGACTGTCAATAAACCTGTGTCTAAAACATACCATGTCTCAGAGTCTTGATTGTCGATGAGAGTTTATGCTAACTGTCTAAGGGTTGTGTACATTTCAACGAAATACACGCATCCCGGAGACAGTATAGGTAGTCATGGTTTTGTTTAATCTTACCGAATTCGTCTAGTTAAATTTTGCGTTCGATTCCCCTTGGGATTATTTCAAAACATGATTTTTCAACTCTCTTATTCCTTTATTCTTTCTTTCCCATTTTGTGTTTTATAAATCTCCGGCGGTCCCAGTGTCACATTGCAGCGAATGCCGGACAATCTTCTGTAAAATGAAGAAGAGACTCGAAGCGACAGAAATGTGGTTCCGCAGAAGGATGCTGAGGATACCATGGACCGAAGATGTGAGCAACGACGAGGATTTGGAGAGAAGGGAAACAAAAAGGAAACATGCTTAACATCAGGAAGAAATTTCTGAGACACGTAATGGGGACGGAGGGTTTGGAAAATTTGGCACTCACAAGACGAATAGAGGAAAAGAGGGACAAGGGAAAGCAGGGCGTAACATATCTGAAGCTTGAGCAAACAGATGGCAAAATAGGGTTTGGGAGAAATACCAAAGAGACAAAACTAATTAAGAGCTACTACGCTGTCCATTGAGATGAGGTGAAATAAATACATTGAATCAATAGCTTCACCTACTACAAGGAAAGTGGGTTCTCTGTGTCGTGTCAGAAAGTTTGTTTTTTTTTTCATCTGAGACCATCCTTCAAATCTATAACACAACCATCGGAATATTACTGTCATATATCGTCTGGTGCTCCCGCTGTTCGTCTTGAGTTCCTTGACAAAATCCAGAGACGAATATGCAAAATGATAGGTCCTGATCTGGCATCTAGTCTACAATCGCTATCCCACACACGTGCTGTGGCCTCCCTCTGTCTCTTCTACGAATATTTTCACGGCGACTGTTCCGACGATCTACTTTCGCTGGTTCCCGGACTACATAAATTTTAAACGTGCTGCCAGGCTGGCATCTCGATCCCACTCTTTCACTGACAAAACGGTTAAATATAGCTGTCTCTTCTACTCAAACAGCTTCTTCTCTCGCACCTCCCGTCTATGGAACTCCCTTCGTCTTACTTGCTTCCCCGATGACTATAATCTTCAAATGTAATATCAATCGACATCTGACTCCCTAATCTTGTTCCCCGTCCTTCTCTTTATCCTTTCCTCAAACACGCCTCTTTACTCTTGTTCCCAATCCTCTGTAACCCTTTGCGTGCTAGTGCCACTCCCGCCTTGCTTGGGGTGAATTGCCTTAAAAAAAGGCGCATGAAAATGTGGAGGGGCCATGATCGCCTATGTCCTGAATAAGACAGGGCACATAAAACGAGAAGAAGAAAATATCGTCTGGAATTTTTGGAGTGTATCCTTCAAAAGAAATATGAAAAAAAGAAGAAAAGATTGGATTGACGAGAAAATACATCCTCTGGATTTCTCGTTTTGCCTGATTGACCAATTTGTTTTTTGAAAATTCTTTTAACCTTCTTTCCTAATTTTCCGTTTCAGCTAGCAAGAAAGAACATCAAACAAAATGGCTGATCTGTAGGAAAAAGCGTTCTGCAGTAATAGGTCTGCCTCTTCAAATAAGATAGCTACACAAGGAAACAGCTTATACAGAAATATGTATGCATTTTTTTTTTAAAATAAGATGGCTGCTTTTCATGAACATTGGTAACGAGACAATATGGTTGCCTCTCAAAATAAAAAAAATGGCTTCTTTCCATTAATATGACAGTTCAATGAAGTGGAATACAAATTTTACTATTACAGTCTTTCTTTAATAAGGTTGGGATTGTTAGGAAAGTCTTTCTTTGATGATTTTTATGTTTATCATTGTTTTAGACAGAAAATATAGTCATGACTGAAATATATTATTTAATATTATTACTGTTTGATATTTGGTTGGTTCGTTTTTTACGTATTATCAACCCTTTTCTGGTTATTTAAAGCCAGTGAATATTTTTAGAATTTTCTTTTTAGATAATAATGGTTTAGTGACACAAATCTTAATAATTAACCCGTAGCTGGAGGAGAAGACAGGCTTGGACACTTTTTGCCAAGGGTTTTTGCGCGTCAGTCAGTTATGTGCCATACGTGATACAGGAGTAGGTGATCGAGGCACATTGCCATTTCTTTCTGCGGTAGATAGTTGCTATCCAAGGCTATGGAACCCGGTCTGTCCTGCTATTTACCCATAGCTAGGGGGAGAAGATGATTCATACCTTTCGCAATGGTATTATCACGTAAGTGAATATCAGCCAGTTTTGTGCCATGCGTGATACACACTTAGGCAATCATGTATTTTTCGATACATGACGGACGAGGCAGATTTTTTACTTGCAGTAGACCAGTTGCCATCCAAGGCTATAGAACCTGGTCTGTCCGGTTATTTACCTATAGCTTGGAGGAGAAGAAGAGTATTCATACCTTTCCCAAGGGTATTAGCACGTAAGTGAATATCAGTCAGTTATGTGCCATATGTGATACATGCTTAGGCGATAAGCTATCTTTCGATACATGACTGACGAGGCAGATTTTTTTCCCGCAGTAGGTTTCCATTTCTTTCTGCGGTAGACCAGTTGTCATCCAAGGCTATAGAACTGTCTGTCCTGCTATTTATCCATAGCTTGGGGGTGGGGAGAAGAAGGATTCATACTTTTACCAAGGGTATTAACAAGTGAATGTAATGGATTTGACTGGATTTCGAACTCGAACCGCTGTCCATTACTCCACCGGGCCTCCTTGCGCGTAAGTGAGTATAATGGAGGACATATGTAGATTAGATTGTAGTAAGCGGACATTCGGACAATTCTCCTCCGAGTTTTTATATTGCATGGAGAAGGGAGTTCTTTGGTCTGACATTCTCTTTACTGACTTCATAGTCCATTCTGTAGACACATCATCGAAAATGAGACTTTGCTTTACTTTTTAGTTATTATCATATTCTTTTCCGTTTGGTTTGGTTTGTTTTATGGATTATCAACCCCAATGGATTTATACAAGATTTTTATTGCTGTAAATATAATTTTTTATCAAAAAGCATTTCTGGTAATATTTTCCTCAAAAATGTATTTCTGATAATAATTTTTTCTTCGAAAATTTATTTCTGGTAATAATTTTTTTTACAAAAATGGATTGCTGGTAGTAAAACCTATTTTTACACGTTTTCACCCCACTTTGGAGGGTTAACTATTTGCCTGTGGCTGGGACCCTAACAGGTGCTACTACCCCGGGTCAGGATGAACATGGGAACAGTAGCAATTAAGAGATGGTTCCACGCTCCTCAAAACCTCCTGATCAGAGATCTTGCTTTTGGATGCAGTTTATCGTCTTACCCAGTACGCGGACTTAATTTATCGTCATACCCAGGACACGGATGCAATTTATCGTCTTACCCGGGACGGGGATGTAGTTTATCGTCTTATCCAGGACGAATATTCTCTTTCATTAATACCAAAAATTTTCACATAATCTCGATACAC